TCGGTAAGGAGTTGCTGGCACTACGGAGCTCGTGGGCTAAGAAATCTAAGTCTAAGGGTGACCTATTAATCGCAGATTTAGAGATTGCACATAAACGCGTAGGTGCAATATTGGACTCAGGATTGATGCGATCCTACATATCCGAGAAAGCAATCCGCATGTTGCATCTCAAAATGAAAGTGAAAGATCTGTCTCGACCTATCACGTCTATTTTGGCAGACAGAAGCACGATCACTATCTCGCAGTGTGTCGATCGTGTTAAGTGCCGTTTCCGAACCAAGGAAGGTAAAAAGATTCTACACGAAGTATCCTTCCTTGTGGAAAAGAACTTAACCTTTGATTTTATTTTGGGTATGGACTGACACGAGGAAGCCAACCCAGAAATCAAGTTCAAAAAGAAAATCGTACAACTAAGGGATGCATATTCCGAGTTGAAACCAATCAAACTGCATCATAAGTCTGACTCTGACTCGAGTTTGTCTTTCTGTTGCATGAGTTACTAACATTTCGATCAATGGTTTCAAAGAAGAAATTGGAAAAGGAAGAAATAATGGTCTTAGTGAAGAAGGCAGGTGAATGTTCTACTTTCTATCCTCCTTCGATTGAAAAACTCCTGGAGGAGTATAAAGATCTACAAACCGAACCAACAGGAATAACTGAACGTGCAATCAAGCACACAATTGAAACTATTCTTGGAAGTAAGATTTCCAATGGCCCTATCTACCAAATGTCTCATAGGGAACTTGAGGAACTCAAAAAGCAGTTGCAGGACTTAACAAAAAAAGGATGGATTCGCCCTAGCTCCTCTCCTTATGGTGCCCCTGTCCTATTTGTGCCCAAAAAGGAAGGTGAGTTGCGTCTTTGTATTGACTACAGAGGGTTGAATACTGTCATTGTTAAGAACGCCGAACCACTTCCACGCATTGACGACTTGTTGGACCAGTTGCAGGGCTGCAAGTTTTTCAGTAAGATGTCTGGATACCACCAAATCGAGGTGGATCCCGTGGATCAACATAAGACTGCGTTCCAAACTAGGTATGATCACTACGAGTTCATGGTTATACCTTCCAGACTGACTAACGAATGAACTATTTCGTCAATGGTTAGACCAGTTCGTCATTGTCTATCTCGACGACATTCTAGTGTACAGTAAGACACTAGAAGATCACAAAAGACACTTGTGTCTCGTATTAGGAAAGTTGCGGGAAGACAACTTCAAGCTAAATCCAAAGAAGTATGAGTTCAATAAGTCTGAAGTCTTACACCTTGGACATATAGTGAACGAGGAGGTCCTAAGGCCCGAAGAAAAGAAAATATTAACAATTAGAGATTGACCACGACCTAAGTATGTAACTGAGTTACGATTTTTCCTTGGTTTGGCAAGCTATTATAGAAAGTTTGTAAGAAACTTCTCACAGATTGCCGCACCAACGAGAAGACTATTGAAAAAAGACACTCTCTGGTTGTGGGACAAGGCCTGTGAGTCCTCCTTTAAGAAGTTAAAGTATGCGTTGACTCACTACCCTGTTTTGAAAATTGTTGATCCGTCTCTTCCCTTCATCGTTACTACTGATGCAAGTCAGTATGGGATTGGCGCAGTCCTTCAACAAAACGATGGTCATGGTTATAGACCTATTGAGTTTATGTCTGCACGTCTACCATCAGACAAGGTCGTCCACTCCACCTATGAAAGAGAACTATATGCCTTAGTCTTTGCGCTGACACGTGGAAGCACTACTTGTTAGGGACGCACTTCGCTGTGTATCCAGACCACTCTGCTCTGAAGTGGATAAAGATACAGCCTAGACTCTATGATAAGTTAGTACGTTGGTCTGCATTCCTTGATACTTTCGATTTTCATTGAAGACTATCAAAGGTAAGTCTAACGTGGTTGCAGATGCATTGTCCAGACGTTGCGATTTCTTTGGTACTTTTGTCTCTTACCTAAATGTTGGGAGTGATTTGAAAGATAAGATTCATCAGAGATCTACTACTGACCCTATTTGGAAACGTATCATGGATGTCCTTGCGAAAGATCCATTTCTACTTCCCGACAATATAGTGACTAATGATTTGCTTTTCTTGTTAGACCAAATTGAACAAAGATTGTGTATTCCTCATCAAGAAGAAATCAAAAGTCTGATGATTGGGGAATGTCATGACTTTGTAGGACATGGTTTCAAGAAAACTTACGCAGAGCTTAGAGAACGCTTTGAGTCGTAGGGATTGATAAAAGACGTACTAACTTATGTTCGTACATGTTTGGTGTGTCAGAGGAACAAACCTTCACATGAGAATCCACTTGGTCTTCTGAAACCATTACCGATTCCTAGCGAACCAGGTGAGTCTATCTCGATTGATTTCATGAGCCTCACCAAAAGCCGGAATGACAATAGTCAAGTAATGGTTATTGTGGATCGTTTCTCTAAATATGCCATATTTATTCCCTTTCCCGCAGAAGCGCGAACAAAACTTCTCATCCAAAAGTTTCAGCTGTGATGGGTAACTGAGTATGGTTTTCCTCTCTCTATTGTATCTGATCGTGATGCTAGGTTCACAAGTATGCCATGGCAAAAGCTTATGGAAGCATATGGTACACGACTGACCATGTCGTCAGGATGATACCCTGAAACGTATGGACAAAGTGAGCAGATGAACCGTTTGTGCAAACAACTTTTGCGCATGTATGTGAGACCCGATCAGATTGATTGGGACGAGAACTTATGCAAGATAGCAAGTGCATACAATAGTAGTGTTCATACCGCTACAGGACGTAAGCCTAATGCACTGCACAAGGGGTGAAAACATAAGCGTCCCATTGATGTGCTAACACGAGACCAGTTCCTTAGGTTACCTCCAGGGACCCAGGAGTATGCATTATTGTTTCAAGAAGACATTAAGAAAGCAAAGGACAAGCTGAAGAAAGCTCAAGACCAAATGATTGAACAAGCTAACAAGCATCGGCGACCATCAACATTCAAGGAAGGTGATCTAGTCTGGGTCAAGTCCAAAGAGTTTTCGTTGGAAGAAAATGTGTCTCAGAAACTTCAGCCTATCTATTTTGGACCCTGGGAAGTTCTCAAAGTAATTGGGGATGCAGAGGGGCCGTCTTATCGAATTGATATTCCCCCTCACCTCAAAACGTATCCTGTCTTTCACGCGTCAAAATTGTTACCCTATGTAGAAGGACATGAGTTCCCAAGCAGACCTTCTATGATTCCGCCAGACATGGAAGGCGGATATGAAGTAGACAAAATCATAAAGCATGAGTATTTTTCTACAGGTGGATGTGGACGAGCCCAAAAGCAGTTCAAGGTACGTTTCAAATCTCAGGCACCATTTGAGGAGAGATGGTTTAGTAAACGAGAGTTACTTGAAACTGCTCCTGATATTGTATCTGCATATGAACATGTTAAAGTCTTAGCTATTTCTGCGATGGAACTCGAAAGCGGAAGAACAACATAGAGGAGAATCGGAGTAGGAGGAATAAGAGAGTAAAGCAACACGGGCGGTGGAGAGAAGCAGAAGGCTCAAATTCTGAAGACTTTCGAGACAAGAAGGAATTCTGGAAAAAGGACGAGGGATGGCTAATCAGGGGAACGAGGGAGACCCCACGCTGGCAGGAGAGTTCACCAGAGTTAGAGAGTCCATGGGCCGCTGCTACGATGAGGGAGTTTGCCCGGACGATGCTAACCGGGGCGAAGTGGTGGAAGACAAAGAAGGGAAACGTTTCGTAGTGAATAAAATGGTGGATGAGGTGAAGGAACAGTGGTTGAGAGAAAGGTCGGTAATGGTAACTTTCCAAGGGGAAGCTAGGAATCTGCAATGCTCAGTCAAGGAGGACTTAATTCGGGCTTACGAAGGCGGGTGGACCGCAAAGAAACTTTCCAACCGGGCTTCCGCAGGGGTCGAGTCAAGTTTGAGGGTGCGAATGTAGCCTCATATGTGGCGAAGGCGAAGGAGATTGCAGACTGGCTTGTACAGCAGAAAGAACTGAGTATCAAATTGGCAGACAAAGAACACTTAGTCTCCTTCAAGCCAAGGTTATCCAGACAAGAATTACAAGAAGCTCGAATTCAGAGGTGGAGTCCAAATTCTGGATTACGGCCTTAAGAGTTCCGCTCGATGCTTACTACTTTCTAAGAAGCGCAGTAAGAGGGGTGTTTGGGGAGGTCCTAGAGATGCATTCACTGGAGTATGACAACGACAGGCCAAAACTACTGAATGTAAAGTTTGACATGCCCCCCAAAGCTCGGTCCAAGATAGACGATGAACCGGTCATCCAGTCTCCAAAAGGCACCTGCTGGAGCCTGAAAGGTTGAGATTGTTACACCCTACATTGACTGGTGCAGAAGATGCAGATGGTACTTCCACACACAGGGAAATTGCCCAAGACTCAGACAGAACGAAGATGGGCGAAGAAGCAATGGGGAGAAACAAGGCGGGCACCATATCCGGTTCAGGGAGCATCTTCAGAACCAAGAACGGTCAACAACCGGGGAAACAGGCAACAGACGAGCAGACATTCCTACTCAACACTCAGCAGGACAACACTCTCAAGGACAAGTAGCGTCCTATATCTCCAGACAGGCCCCGCAGGCACAGTCCCCCAGGGAAGAAGCTGTACGGAATGGCCACCAGCTGCACCCGGGGGACAGATCGACCAACTGTCAGGTAGCGCACAGGGGAGATTCGCTGCATCTCGGGTACCTGCAGCACCAACAACAGCTTACCAATTAGGCGATTGGTCCCAGGGGCCCCAGGGCCCAGGGGGAAGATCTAACACAAGGATACCAACTGTGGGGACAGGAAGGGATACCAGGAGCAGGGATGCCGCGGTTACCCCCCTGGAATGCAAGAAGGGACTGGCAAGGGGAAGGAGGTGGGTATGACCGGGTATATAGTGCTCAGATGGCTGGCGCTGTCCCAGATATTCAGGGCCCCTCAGCACATATGAACTGGCAAGAGCACCACTGGTACCAACGAGAAACAGAAGCCAGCGCGGCATACCAGGCATAGATTTATGCAGCAGCAGCTGGGACAGCAGAAACAAGGTCAGGCGGTACACGGAGGACAGGTTGGTCAGGGCAGACAGTTTGGACAGGTGGAACACCCGATCCCAGGGTATCCTTCAGCAGACTACGACTGGCAGAAGCTGATTTACACGGCGCAGGGAAGAGGAAACCCCTCCCTGGACTTCTCGAGGTGGGATGCCAAGGGAGGGGCGAACAGACGAAGAACAAGGTCAAGTAGCTCAAGGTGGGATGCATGGAAGGAAGACCCTCAAAGAACGAGAGGAGCCACTACACAACCGTGGAGGCAGGAACCACAGTTCCACCCCCCTAGATGGAGGGAAGAGGAAGAGGTCACGCCGGGGAGAGCTCTCTGCAATACTCCGACTCGAGCAGAGACAATCCAAGAAGAATTGTCGAAGACTTCAGTCACGTCCCGTTCGAGGATCGGATGGGGCAGTGAGTGCTGTGAAGAAGGGTACGGCTCTTCCCAGCACGCGGACGACTCTTCCTCCTTGAAGAGCTCAACAGCGTCAGGACAGGGCCAACGGAGTAGACATGAGGAGGGAGACAGACGTACACTGAACAAGGACCAGAGAGCTGAGACCTTTGAAAGGAACAAGATTGAGACTGTTCATAGGTGTATAGTCCCATTGTTCTGTACAAGCTCCGCTCAAGGCATTTGCTTCCTGGCGATCGCGGACGAGGCAGACGTCTCCATTATCCCCTCGGCATCAATAGACAGGTCCCCTACACCTGTGATGATCTTGGAGGAAACGAAGAAGCTGTTCGGAGCGTATGTCCCGATCAGGCTTATACCACATACCGAGATGGCGAATGTAATAGTGGAAACAGTCCAAGGCTATATGAAGATGTACTTCCCACTGTTGGATGCGAGACCCACAAGAGGCGGCAAACCTGTTGTCCCAGTCCGGAATCCGTTGGTGCCACATGTCTCGGGAGGAGAATCTGCATTCCGGTTTCTTGGTCGGCAAATTGACAAAAGAGTGGAAGTCGTCTTCCAAGGCTAGTTCGGCAAGAAGCAGATCACAGCATAGATCAAGAGACTCCACTGATAGAAGTAGGACGTTGCTGGCACAGTCCGATCAACAGGCACACAGCAACCGCATCCAACCGCAGGCGGTCACAAAGACGATTGATGGATAAGATCCGGGCAGCCACTTGGAACATCCACGGCTTGGGAGACACCAATGGGAGGTCCAAAAGGCGCCGACTTAAGAGTTGGCTCCACGAGTGGAAAATTAACTACGTCTTTTTTCAGGAAACTAAACTGAACGAAGAGAAGCTCAAAGGTTTCGATCGTTGGTTGGAGGGTCCACAGATATGGGCTCCGGCACAAGGTAGCCGAGGGGGAGTGGGGATTCTACTCCATAGGGATCTCCAAGCGCACGTGATAGATTCCGAAGCGGACCTGTGGGGTAGGTGGGCATGGATGAAGGTAGCAATTGGGAATGAGGAATGGACGTTGATGACAGTGTATGCTCCAACAACACCTGGGGAAAGAGCAAAGTTCTTCTCCAAACTCATGCAGCACGTCCCACGGGTGGACAAATTGGTGGTGGCCGGAGACTGGAACGTATCAATGGATGAAGCTTTGAGGCTGGGGGCCCCGTCAGCCAACCAGAACGACGTCAGAACTCTCCTGGAGTTCAGTGCGGAGCTAGCATTATCTGGTCCTTTCCCTATCTTGAACCCGGGGGAGGCAGGTTACACCTGGTTCTCACATCTTAGTAAGGATAGACAGGTAGTGACTAGGAGGCGGTTGGACTACTTCTTAGTTGTGGACCAAGTCTTGGACAGGGTCACCTCAGTTCGTGAGGTCCGTCAAACCCTATTAGATCACAAACCTGTTGTTGCAGATATTCGGTTACACCTGGGGGTTGAAAGAGGCAAGGGTTTCTTCCGCCTCAACAACCAAGTCTTGTAGGTACCGGGTGTGAGTGAGTGGGTATCAGACCACATGGCCAAATGGGAGGCTGCAAAGCCACACTTTGACTCCTCGGCCGAATGGCTCGATGGGGGCATCGCAATCACTTCCGGGATCCTCGACGCAATCTCCCGAATCGTGGCGAGATAAGGAACAAGAAAGAGGCTGACTTCAAAAGGAGGGTGGAAGAGGCCGAGGGGCGAATGGAAGGCCACCCGATATCAGTTATGGTTTGGGTGGCAGAACGGGAGAACAAATTAGAGGAATGGGACAACTTCCAGGCAGACAAGCAAAGATGGTGGAATGAACTGCTCCAGGACAAAGGGATTGAAACACACGACAAGATGACGAAGGACACCTTTCAAAAGTTGCTGCCCAACAGGTCTCAGCACCAGATGATCGAACTTACACACCCATTCAATGAGTCCGCCCCGACAGCGTGCTCAGCAGCAGGCATGCTTCAGTACGCAAGGCTGTACTATGAAGATGTGCTCTCCACAAGACGCCCCCAAGATGATGTAAACTCAGATCTCTCAACGTCCTCTGACATGTGGGATAGCACGACGGTCCAGCTGAGTACCACAGCAAGGTTGGACTTAGATCGCTCGCTTACGTTAGAAGAGGTTACATCAACTTTGAAAACAATGGCCAGGGGGAAGTCCCGGGGGTGGATGGACTCATAGTGGAATTCTATGCAGCCAATTGGGGGGTATTCGGGGAGTCGCTGGTGAAACTCTACAACGAAGTGACGGCGGGCGGTAGACTGGGAAAGGGGATGACACATGGCGTGATTTCGGTTCTATTCGAGAAGGGAGACAAGGCTGAAGTGAGGAACTGGCGGCCGATATCGCTGTTGAACGTCTCATACAAAACCCTCGCAAAATCTCTAGCACGTAGACTCTCGAAACATCTCCCGGATCTGGTGGAGAAAGACCAAGGAGCATTTGTGCAGGGCAGGTCCATATTCAACAACATCGTAATAGCGATCGAGGCATTAGAGATTGTACAGAACGAGAATCTAGAGATGGTGGTCCTCCTGCTAGATCTGGAGAAAGCTTATGACAAAGTTGGGTGGACGTTTGTCCTCACAACGCTGAGAAGAATGGGGTTCGGAAGGAATTTCTGCGCTTGGATCATCACCATGTATACTTTCTCGACTTCAGCGGTGATGATCAACGGATATCTGTCCGCCTCCTTCGCCCTCACAAGATCGCTCCGACAAGGGTGCCAGTTGGCCCCGCTAGTCTTCGTATTACAACTCGAAGTACTACTCAACAAGATTCACAGAAACCAGGTTATTAAAGGCCTGCGATTACACAGCGGGGTAGAGTGCAAAGTGAAGGCGCTAGCGGATGACTTGTTTGTGATGAGTGGAAATACGAAGGCCTCGCTGACAACACTGAAGAACATACTGAGAGAATACTCCTCCCTGTCCGAGGCCACAGTTAACTGGAACAAATCCACTTACCTGCTGCCAACAGAGTTCAGGCTAGAGGTGGAATGGGGGATGAAGAGAGTTGAGAATGGAGAAGAGGAAATATTTTTGGGAGTATTAATCAGCCTCCAAGTCGATGCATCGACGCAGGGAGTATTGTTACAGCAAAGGATCTCGGCCCGACTGAGGACGTGGGGTGCGGCCTGGCATCTCTCAATCGTTGGGAGGGCTCTGGTTACCAACGTGGCCCTATACTCCATCCTCTGGTTTGTGTCCATAGTCAGAAAAATTGCTGTCGGAGTGCTGAAGGCAATCAGGAGACTGGTTGCCCGGTTTATTTGGAAGCCAAGAGCCAAACAGGAAGACTCTTTCAGATCAAAGGTAGCTCTAGACACTCTATCTTTCCCAGGGCAGAAGGAGGCCTGGGTCTCATGGACCCAGCACGCCGGAATCAGGCACAACTTGAAGGATGGGTAGCAAAGGTGGCCACGTTGGGCCCAAGAGAACACTGGGTGGTCCTAGCGGAGCGCATATTAGCAAAAAAGTGGGAGCTGGCCAGACCCAAGAACGTATGGGCCTGTCTGTTCATGCCGTCCTTCAGAAAGAGGAGATTGAAATCCTGTTTCTGGGAGGCAATCAGGAGGGCCTGGAACAAGCTGCCTCCATATGTACAGCAACCTCCCTCCACGAAGGAGGAAGTGCTCCTCCAACTGCTGTTCGACAACCCGGAGATCCGGAACCAGGATGGAACCCCCTTCAAAGCGGGTGGATCTGCAGGTATGTTTGGGCAGTGCTGGGTCAAGAGAGGGGTGGTCCGCATTGAGGACCTCTGGTCCACACTGTTAGGGAGCTGGAAACCGATGTCTGAGATAAAAATTGTACTTAAAAGCCTGCAGCAAGTGGAGGTCCATTGGAGGTGCATCATAGAAGCGATCCCCCGAGAGTGGCTGCTGCTACTGGGGCCGGAGGGTCTGGACCCCCCAAGCACGGGGTACATTCCAAACTCAGAGTCAAACAACAACATGCTGTGGAAGGTCATTGAGATTCTCCCCAGCGGTTTCAGGTGGGTGGAAAAATGGTACTGCAAAGGTATGGCCAACATACTATCCAGGGCAGAGGAGGAAACGGTGAGGGTGTGGGACAACCCTGCTCAGGCGAGAGTGGTAGAGACAAAATACAGGGGCCCAGCAGACCACACCCTAACGTGGGTTGGGAGAGTCCCCCTACGAAGCCCATGCATTGACCCGACAACCAGGAACACAGATGGGGCGGAGGTAATGCTGCTAAACTACACAGTAGCATACGATTAACAACAGTCAAAGGGCCATCTGAAGTCGCCAGCCCAGACAGCAATCCCTCGTTGGCAAGCTGTCTAGGGGGAGGACCTATCGGATGCGGCTCCGAAGTTCGAGCGTCTGTGGAAAACGTTGTGCTCACTACCGAATGGGAAACAGGTGAGCATTCTCTGGCTGCTCCTCATGGTAACTCCGTCGGCTGTTTGGTTGAGAAGCAAAGGAATGGAGGTCAGTCTGGGATGCACAAGATGCAGGTGGCCCTTTGAGTCCACTAGGCACCTTTGGTGGGAGTGTCCAGCATCCAAACGGGTGTGGCAATGGTGGACCCTCCACTGGAAAGAGTTTGGAGGACAAGGGGTGGAGTGGAACGAAGAATGGGTGTTGCTGGGTTTTCTCCCTGCTCACACGCCAGGGAGCAGAGGTTGGGGTTACGCAGCGCATGTGATGAGAGGCCTTATCTGTCAGACCATCTGGGCGGATCGCAACAGATCCCGATTCCAAAAGAAACCATTTTCGGACAAGGAGATCAAGGGAGCAATCAAGAAGGGACTGAGGCAAGCCATTCGTGTGGACTGGAGAAGGAGGGCCAAGGCGGGCAGAGGAGGCAAGAGACAGATCCGATGGTTCATGCACACATGGACAGCAACTATCAGCTGGCCGCGATTCACTCAAGCAAAGGCCTGGTGATATCCAAGTGGCTTTCGGAAGTAGACAGCTCAGTAGGAGACGGAATTTGGCTTAATTGGTAGCAGTAGTTTTAGGCACAGGTACAATCAGGGCACTCGGTTTATTAGGGCCGCAGTAGGCCACTAGGGGAGTGCCTGGGTAGGACCCGGACTCTGTCCTCTGGGCCGTGTTAGTCCCAGACTTAGGCTGGATCTCCGGCTTCAGGAAGTTACCGAAGGGAAACGCCACTTGCCTGTAAGCTAAGCTGGCTGATGCTGTCAGATATCCCGGGTTGAATTGTGAGGTCCCCGGCCTCTCCTTGGTATTATAACGAATTGAAGTGTGTTGCTAAAAAAAAAAAAAAAAGAAAAAAAGAAATAGAGCATTTTATTTCAATAAACCAATCCTGGAAAATAAGATGGTTTCATCTACCTGGATAGATTCAACAAATTCCGGGTTTGTGGTTCGACTGCTCATGTGTGTGTGGGGGGACTGGATAGAGGTGAGTCCCGCAGGCACTTGCCTGTAAGCTAAGCTGGCTGATGCTGTCAGATATCCCGGGTTGAATTGTGAGGTCCCCGGCCTCTCCTTTGGTATTATAACGAATTGAAGTGTGTTGCTAAAAAAAAAAAAAAAARAAAAAAAGAAATAGAGCATTTTATTTCAATAAACCAATCCTGGAAAAT